TTCGCGGGAACTCTTTTCCCAGAGGGTTAAGCGCCCGGAGCGTCAGGCCTAACTCCTCTCCATATCTAATACCAACCGTAGGATTGCATATAGTTCTACCTCCACGTCTGTTATATGCCTTAATTTCTGGGTGCTTGTGCATAGGATCAACTTTATCTTTACTTCTTAACAAAAAATAAAATTGCCTCACAGTGATTTTATCAGTGTTAATTTAGGAAATATTCTTTATTAATCATTTCGTTACTTTAGCTTCTTAATATACTTCTTGCTGGTTTGATAGCGTACAGCCTTTGAAAAACACTAACGGAGTGTGTGGACAAAGACGTAGAACGAAGGAAGATATAATGAACGGTTAATGTTGAGAAAATAGTGTTCGGAATCTTTTATAAACTGATGTGTGAGGCTGAGATGTGGATAAAACTGGCTCTGGATCATGTCCAAATGAAAGGCATCTCTTAATAATAATTGTGTCAACTCGGTTGTCTTACCAGAGTGACAGTTGGCGGTCGATACTGTTGGTAGCTAGAGATATCGATTCGGCCCTGTTTTCTTATTGTTCTGTTATGGGGTGAGACTATGTCTCTGTGAAACTGGGCCAAAGGAATAACTGCCCCTGTACTCTGTCCACCACAATCCCACATGAACTGACCTGGGTGCCAACCCGGGCTTTCTCAGCGAGTAGCCAGAGTAATGACACAGCCAATTCAGTTGTTAGCTGGTCTTCTGGTGCACACATTTCATAATCTCCAATGAAGATGATAATATGAACTTCTGATCCTCGTGGTATTATACAGAACGATTGTAAATCTCAGGTACCGAACAAAAGCCTTGATGCTAGCCACACTGTAGTGGATAACTGAATGAACAGACATCTACTTGATATCCTTCAACACGTCGGAGAGAAAGCAACTGTATCGGATAACTATACCCCTAGAGGTTATGTTATGAGCTGTTCCTTATAAAACAAACGTCCAGGAGACATGCAAGCAAACTTCTCGCATTACAAAGTATAACTGCGTATCTTGTTCACTTCTTGTAAAGAGGACAGGCGGAGGGTTGCTGCCGACATTGATTCTCAATCTGCTTACTCCCCCAGACCAGCCCTCACCCAGATGCTAACAAAATAGCTCACGAGTGCAAGTTCTCAAACGTTAGTTTCAAGTAGAGCGTATGCTATGTTATTGCTCCTAAGCGGATAACGTTATGTGATTCCAACGAAAATAGCTGGTGCTTGACATTGAAAATCTAAAACCAGAATATTCGTTACAGTCTTAATAAAAGAACCTATGCTAAACATGTAATTATAAGAGATATTTCAGTTTCTCGTGGTGGCGATTATGGAGATGGTTGTCTTCTGGGTTGTTATACGATGTAATTTGGTAGATGACCTACGTTTCAGAGATTTTTCTGCCAGACTACACAGCACAACAGCCATCATAATATCATAGTGTGTATTTGATTGGTTTTGAACACAGATAAACTTTCGGATCCCATAAAATCATTACTTTTTCTGAAGTTTGAACAAAAAATAGAAACTAACATTAGGCAAGTAAGATGTTAAAATAAAATGACGAAATATGATTAAATATATAAATAAATTGATGCAAAATTGATATAATGTCTTTGGAACAACTTAAAAATGCAACGTAAATTGAAATATAATTGAATAATCAAGGCCGACTTGGATAACAGTAAACAAAACCAAAAATACTAAAAATAACAAATTAGTGATAGTAAAGCACAATTTTTTTTAATATCACTGTCCCCTAATTTCCACTGAACCAATTCATTTAGTTTCTAAACGAATAATTTGATTTATCTCAATATTTTCTTCACATATAAAAATCTCAACCTATCGCTATTTCATTGATTTCACTACCCCAAATACAACAAATAAAGCAGTCAGTTGTGTACACATTATTGTAAACAGTATTAATATACGAGCTAATTCCGTGTACGTGTATTTATTTAGACTTTGACAGTTCGGTTACTTTTATGTCGTTACGAAATTCAGCTCAAAAGTCAATTCCAAAGAGAAGCTATCCAAGACAGACTTCCCTTCCTCCGACTTGTTTCCATATCCACTTGATCCCTCTCCGTTCTTTATGGTAGAATACGAAGAGATAAACGGAAGACTGGAACGAGGCTAGAAAACTGGCCATTGGACAGAACGCTCTAGGGGTACATTTGACAGAGGAAGGAAATGTGCTATTAAACACGTGATCCAATATGGTGGCACGTACCTTCAGTACGATTACTGTCTTCATACTAGGACTGTCAATAAAAGCTACCACATATCATTGCATTGGAATGGTATAACATATTGGGTCACCAACATATATTTTTTTTCTTCAATGTTGCAAATGTTTATCTTCTTAGTTAAGTCTGATGAAATTTCTGTAGAGGGAATGCTCAATGTGAATTCGTTGGGACAGAGATGAAGTATAACTTCACAAAAATTTCAAACATGAACGTAGTAAAAAGAATTTTGACTTCGTTGCTAAACATACTACCACAAATATTTACCATTATATCAGTTCACAGTTTCGTGAAAATTTGATTTTAATTAGTTTACTTACATGTAATTATATTTTATTAAGTTAAACAAACCAGAGTAATCAGAAATGTTTCGGCTTTATAAAATGACTGAATGGTAGTTTGAATACCAAAGACTGAAGCCAGCAGAACACCCACATTCTTTTAAAAAAACTTTGTAGGGCTGATTTGTCTTAGACAAACAATACAGAAACGGAACTATTTTTATCAGAACTGTTTATTGTCTGGATAAAAATACATTAGGCTTATTGGAGGATGGTTCTATATCCCTATCATATTAAATACAAAAGTGCCTATTCTGTTATATCCATTAAATTAGATTTATTATTACAAAAAGGAGCAGATAAAACGATAAAAATATCAGCAGACTACAATATGTAGAACTATTGGGAGAAACGCAACAAATTGTAACCATTAACAGTGTATTTTAAATTATCGTTATAATAAAGACAATGGTGTTAACATTTTATAATACTGCTTACGTGTAAATAAACCTTTCATTTCTTTTGACTTCACTCGTGCTGTGGAGAAGAATGTGTTAGTTACTATTCTGTTTATATTTTGCTAGATTTAGTTACGTGTTGTATACAAACGCACAATAAGATACGATTAACACTAATTTCTGGAGCTAATTTGTCACTCATACGTTCTAAATATTTTTCCCATTTATGGAACAAATACGCCAGATATTTATTTCTAGACAAATTCCGCCAACATAGGTCCCTATACATTTATTTCAAACACAAGTTCTGAAATATGCTCGACGTTAATCGTTGTAATTTGTAACACAAAAAGAAAATGTGTATAAAATTTATGTAGAAACTTTCATGAAGTATCACTAAACAATGTTTTTTTAAAAAAAATAATAACTGATTAGCCATCACTACCAATGGAAACATACAAATACATTTGATTTTTTCCGGTTTAAGAACATTGTACAAACTACAGCAGGAAAAATATCTGAGCAGTTAGTAATATATTTTACAGCACAAACATTTAGAACTTTATATTTTGTGCATTAGTTCAGTTTCCGCTTCGAAATGAAGAAATATCTATTGTCACGTTGTTATTAATAAATTATAGAAAAAAGAACGGGTAGCCTCCAATCCAATGGCATCCACATATGGTTCACGAAAATCATCCACTTTATTTAAAACATATTACAATGAACATAAGGTCACGTACACACGGCCATACCGATGCAATAAACTTTCTTTTCGTAAGAGACAGAATTAGGCTAAAGCTTTTAAAGTATAAAATTATCTTAACAACGAATGTTAAAGTTTATTTTCCTTTTTGCAAGATGAAGACTTCGTTGTAGCCAAATTACACGGATCCTGCTACCACATAAAATTTGTGAACAAGGACAAAGTCTCAGAACTTACACTGTGGTCCCTTCATATCGTTGCCAGTTAAATTTCTTCAGTTTTACGAAAAGAAAAGCGGGAGTTCAGAAAAGGGTTCATTAAGTGTCTCATTTTTAAACCTCCGAAGGCTACAGCCCTGGGACACCGTATAACAAGCTCCCCTGTCCATCAAATGGGGCACACACAAGACAATGCCATATCAGGTTATTGGAAGACAGAAGCCAGGAAGGGATCGAAATTATGTATGTCGCTGCAAGACAGTGCGTAATAAAACATATAAAAGTTCAACTATACTTCTTAACTAAACAAATTGGTATGTCACGAAAACAATGTTAAATTCCATATCTGGAAAAAACTAGACGAAAAAATGAGGTATGCAGTAAGGCCTGGTAAACAGAATTTAGGAACTGCTCGTTAAGTATAATAAATATCATATTTAAATCTCTCGTACTTTACAAAACAATAAACAGCACGATGATGATATTCTTTTGGGGTTTGACTTCGAACAGGCTCTTAGGTAGATACCAACATTTCGGAGAAACATAATGTCACCATCTACAGGGCTGGAAATGGAAGCCATTACTTTTCTCCAAAACGTTGATATATACGGCATCTTCAATCCTCAAAATAGAGATAATATGTTTCCCCAAAACTTTTCTAGCTCTGAAGATGGATACAGAATGTTACTCCGAAACTTTTCAGCCCTGATAGACAATAAGTTTCTTCGAAATATCAACATCTTCCTAAGCGTGTAAATATGTCAAAAGCCATTAGAATATTATTATTAACAAAGCCGTAACAACATCAATCAAATCTCCCAAGAAACAACGCTATTATATTTATAAAATATAAGTTGCCGAAGTGCATCCACCCTTATTTCTGTTCTAAAAGTACTAGATGATCTCAAAGTTACACGCGACGTAGTACCCTAAACTGTTCAATTATTTCAGCCTTTACAGTTTAAACGGAAGATTTTATTTTTCCTTTATTTTTATTTTCGCAGATTCCAAACATATCAAAGAATCAAATACTGAAATATCAAAATAAAAACGTGAACTCTTTCTACAACATACTTACAGTTTCAACAGTGACGCAAGTCATTTCCTGTAAGCCTTTCCTAAATCCTTTTCAATCTCTCGACACAAAGGACGGGACAGGTCCTTAAAACAAGACAAGGTCGCTTCAACGTCATTTCCAAACGAAAACTAACATTCAACCAGTCATTCCGAAGCTAACCAAAGCTGCCAACTTAGATTCGTTAAGTAATGAGAGAAAAAATAACGCAGCATATACAAAGCAGGGAAATTTTTTCGGTTATAATTTTTTTCCGGACGGCCTGTAGAAACATGTCTTTTATACCTCTGAATGTTCTTTCCTACAAGAGGGATATTTTTTTGTAAAACTTCCACATTCTTATACCCTCAGAAATAATTGGCATCGACCGACGGGTTGGAACAAGAGGACCATTACATGACCCCATTCACAGATGGCAGCACGCATTACAGGACTGCAATTTTCTTCCTCACTACTAAGACATTCGAGTTCCTTTGGGATGTTGAACAGGTAGATGCCAAGGCAAAGAGGATATGGGAGCAATATTTATGCTCACTCTCACTTAACGGCCGTGTTGAAGAGGCCGAATTATTTGCTGTAATAACGAAGGTAAATGAAATCTACGGTTTCCGAGAAATTTGTTTCAGACATGTTTTATAACAGATTGCAGCAGCAGATATTATTCCACATCAGTGAAATAATTCTGATTAAATTTTGAGCGCTTATTAAATTAATAGGCTACATACAGATATCGGTTGCAAGATTACACACGTGTACACACAATTAAGCGAGTCCTGTTTGTGAGTTAAATCAGTCCGGATCAAAATAGAGGCAGCCTATTTGAAACTCCTGCATGTCTGTTAGGAAGGAACCATGATGTAACAAAAGCTGGAGGCACAATTAAAATATATTTAAAAATTTGTTCTATATAAATTTGTAGGTCATATATCTGATATACGAATTTCACAAAGAAATTTTATTTAAATGAAGCAACAAATAACGAGTACGTTTATACAGATGAGTGCATATACTTTAAAACATTGGATAAATTCTCTTCCTCTTTACAAATTTATTCCGTCTTTTGTTGTTGACACTCATATAGCAGCCAAATTAAAATACAGAAATTGATAGTAAATAAATATCAGAGCCGATGCCAACAGGGCGCTCGTAATTACAAATAATAAAAAGACTGGTAGTGCATGCCCATATAATAATTCTTGTGGGACAGCGTTTATGTGAACAAAAATATTTTTATAATTTATCTATACGCAAATTACTTAAACAGATAGAGTTATACATTTTTGAGTAATTCTGTTCATGTTTAATTAAGCAGGGCATTAAGAAAATCTGGGTTTAATATTTTACAGTACACTGGTTTGGGCCACTGTACGAAAATGCATTGTTGATTCTTTATTTATGTAACAAAACTTCCTCAACCGCAGAGTTTATAACACAAATTCCAGTCGAATTACGATTTTGAACGTCAGATTTGAACATAGCTGGAAGTGGTCGCAATCAGCTGTAAAGCAATGCCCCAGTATATTCCTTGCGATAAACAGCCTCGGAACCGAAACATGAATCTCAATAAAACCACGAATTTTTATATAAACACTACTCAATTAACAAAAACGTTTGCTCTAATGTTTTAGATAGACTTATACAAAACTAGATGCTTAAGACTATCTAGTTAGGGGCTGTACAGTTAGTGTAATATAAAGATTTCTGTCTCCTGGGTTGTTGCGCCGTGTAGTCTGGTCGATGTTAACCAACGTTTCAGAGGTCATACTGCCTCCGTCATCAGGGAGATGAATATGTAATATAACTTGTAAGTACACAACGGTGTTAGATGTAAACGAAAGTAAAGTATCAACCTATCTCCATCATTTTGGTAGCACGTACGAAGTTTTAGTTATATAACATTTATGACAATCGTGGCAAAATATATCTCCACCTCTCTAACGTCGCAGGACATTGTAGCAATTCCGAATATGACAAATGTCAATGTATTTTTTATTTAAACTAATTTCATTTGTTATTTCCTTCGGTTTATAAAACTTCCTATAAGGACAATCTGCATAGTCATAGTCGAGGACATCTCTGAATCCCTTACGAATTTCTCCACAATTATTAGGATGAATACGAATGAGCATCAGCATCAACACTTCGTATTTCCAATGGTCGTCTTTAGTCTTGGCCCATCATCAGGGCGCAATGCGTACAGAAACTGTTTATTTTACCATAAGAACATTAGGTGAAACAGTAGTCGGTTCAACGAAACTTAAGGAACCGGATCAAATGTCCGTTGTGTACGAAGGACGAAGAGGAGTAACAATAGTGTCAAATCCCCTCCACGCTACAAGACACTCGTCTGTGTTGACCTACCCTCTCTCTGTTTCCTTCCTAACCATTTCTGAGACCCTTGTAGTCATTAAGATGTTGGAGTGGACGCTAATTCCAATTTATATGCAACGTCGTCTAAGTGAGAATATACAGACGGGCATACCTACTCCTCTGTACGTTGTTCGCACCTTTAAGAGGCTTGAACTTTATACTCTGTTCAGAAAACATTATTCCCTTGCCGAAATAATAAATAGCGTTACAGAGTCCTACCTGAGAAGACTTATACGTGCAGATTATCAACAGATTACTCTTTCAATCATTGTACCCAGTTTAATCAGTCCGCAACTTTAGACTTTTCATCTTATAAAATAGATTAATATTTGCCGTTCATCTACGTCCGGGTCTCAAACGTTCTCTATTCCCTTCAGGATTTCAATTACAAATTTTCTATTAATTTATCTTTTTTCACATAAGGTTACATTTTCCTGTATTTCGTTCTAAATTTATATTATGAAAGTAAATCTAGCATTCAGCAACTGAATATTTTAACTAGATGATGATATGATGTAAAGAACGTATGTAAATATTTCGAACACTTGTGAAACATTGATAGATATTAGATATTATTAAGATTTTTTTGAAAATATTCAAGAATACCTCTCGTGTATATTAATTGTTTTATGTGTGCACGCCAAAAATTCAGTGAAATTTCTAAATTGTTTATTAAAACACGACAAATAAACAACATTCAGAGCCGTATTTTTAATTATTTTTTTACATTCAGCACGAGTAATGTTGGACCTAAACATGTAATTCGTATTTAACCTTTATAATTTTATATTTTTAAAGATTGTTACTTCAAATCTATAAGTCGATGTTTATATTTAGCGTTGTATGAAGCAAGGAGAGCAGGTAAGTTAGTAAATAATTTCTTGGAGGATAGATTAATATCTCAGGTAACTGTAATAGTAGGACAAGACAAGAATGAACAAGGTTATCAACATCTTAAGCCAAACTTTGACGCACTCCAAACAGAGGACAAGGGTTGAGGTGTAAACAAAGCAAGTTTATACAGTGACTGCTACACACTACATCAGAAGTGGTGGTTCTGAATTAGTTGAGGTTGAGATAAATGGATGTAGCTGACAGGGGTCAAATTAAAACCATGGGGAAATGTATATTTCAATATTGTGTACATATTTTCCAAATGCATGATCTGCAACATTTTATCAGGCGATCGCTCTGATGATGAGGCAGCAAGGACCTCTGAAACGTCGGTAAAGTTCTACCAGGCTACAAGGCGTAACAACCCAGAAGACAGCCATCTTCAGACTCACCGCCGTCAAAACCTCAAATCCTACACAGATAAACACACTTGTAGAAGCGAAGTGCTTAGTATCACGCTCCGGCCACTTATATCCTTCAAAACAGCCGGCCTAACTATTAAAGAGGAAGCTGGGTCTACCCTAGATCCCATCTTGAAATTGGTGGTGAAGAGACAAATCCTTGCCCCTGCCACGAATCGAACTCCGATTTTTCAGCCCGTAGCTAATAACTACATAAATAGTTGTGATTATGAATATTGTTAATTAAATAGTCAAAGTTTGAGCAGAAGGTGTTTAGGAAGAGTTGAAAAAACAATATTTGGAATAAGTATTTTTTTTTCTATAAAAGACACAGCTATACCTTAAGTTATATTGTACATGATAGGAGTAATTTGTCAATTTATTGTTTCCACCGCACACATAAAGCCAATTAGAGGCCACATACGGTCATTTCTCACAGTAATCAAATTAATTGAAATATTGTCTGACATAAATGTTACTTCGGTTACCACATTTCCGGATTTGTGTTTTCGAAATCCTACAAAGCACAAAGTGAGATTAGTGATAAATTGAATGGCTTATGTGTGCTTACAATAAGAATAACAAGCGTTATGCCAGCTGGAGGATGTTCTCAGCAAATAATTGATATAATTAGCATTCCCGTCTTGTCACACAGTCAATTATACCTGCATGGATTCTTGGCTGTACGTCAGGCTACGAAATCACATTACAGTGCCCGAGCTGGTAACTGTTAGGACTACATCATATGGGTTTAGAGCACAGTGATGTAGCATGGGTCATATACGTGATGCCACGTATAATAATAATGATGCATCATCATTACAATGTCAACAGAATATATTAATATTATTAACCCTTTGAAGCAGAAGCTTATCTGTATAATATTTAAGAATTCAGTCCGAAAACGCGTTTTCACCATTACAAAAAACAACTGGTTAATGTTGTTTAAGAGAATTATCCCTGCATACAGTAAGAATCATACAAACCATAAATATAAAAACTGATTTTGAGCTTCAAAACATTAAGAATAATAACTTTATTGTGATCTTATTCAGTGGGTTTTAAATTAGAACTTACTGAAGTCGAGGATTTATTACCGTATTTATATTAGCAAGATACTGGATTCTTTTCTGAGCCAGTTGAATCATATCCACAACATTAGATAAAATAAACTATTTTATGAACGACCCATGTTTGCCTAGGCCTTTAACTTTGTATTCCAGGAGGGTTCCATACACAAATTTTATAAACACTTCTCATCTCCGACGTAAATGTTACAAGGCAACCTAATTATTCTTTACTCTAATAATTAGTTTCAATTCTTTATTTTAACTTTCTGACTTTGCCGCCATAAGGGCCAATTACAGAATAAGCACAATAATATAGAATATATCATAATACATCTTATCGCACGTATTAGAATTCCTGCTCCGAAATGAATGAAACGCTAAGTCTGAATCTTTGCGCGACG